GCACACACACACACACACACACACACACACACTCATCCCACACAAAGCACAAAGGCACACACAATCTTTGGACGACTACCAAATCTCGCGTCTATGACTCGAACTCTTCACACTGCAAGTTACGATCAACAAACACTTCACCCAAAACAAGTACTGCGTCAGTTATGCCTAAGCTCTCTACCTAGGGAAAGCAAAAGAGTTGACGCTTGCTTGTAATACTTCGGCTTTGCATAACTTATCGATATGTCCCTTAAGTGTCACAAAAGTTGGTGATACCTTGTGACACATTATGCTGCGCATGCGCACAAAAATTAGCATAACCTGAATGCTGAGTTCTCCAATCCAGGCCGAAGCAATGGGGTCCCACGAGCAGTGATTTATGAAATTTCCATATCCCAATCCATGTTACGTTTACTGTATTACGGAGTTTGGTTTAGTGCGTGTCAATACGATTAGGCTCTTGTTTTTCATTAAAACGAAACTTACCGGGTATATGAAAAGCAAAATAAAAACTGACAGATTCCAAAGTATTATTCTTCTTTTCTTTTTCTTCTTCTTCTCGATCGCATCACACTTGAAGTCTGGTATCTGTCTTAAATTGGGCCGCCCTGCTCAGTTCATCTGCCACGTCGGCCCGTATAGCTTCTCTTGTAGTGTCAGTGCGGTTGGTCACGTTTCCTGTCTCAGGGCCCTGTGCGTCTTGCTGTGCTGAAGGATGTGTTCAACAGTTTGGTCCGCCTCTCCACACTGGCATTTTGGTGATTGTACTAGTTTAAAACATCTGTACATATGTTGTCTCAGTCTTGTGTGTTATGTTCTTAGTCGGAAGATAATACCTTGTTCTAGGCAGGACAGCTCATGGTAGCTATCTGGCGTCTGTGGTGCCTTAACTAGTGTATGTATAATAGTTTTTATATCTGTGTAGTCGACGCTGTTGTCTGGTTGCCCTTTCTGTGCTCCTAGTTTGGCCATCCTGTCTGCCTGCTCATTTCCTAGAACAGCATAGTGTGATGGAATCCACTGCAGCATGATCCTCAGACATAGGATGTCCTCAATGTCTTCTCGTAGCCTTGAAAGTTTGCCGGCAGTGATTGCCTGCAGTACTGACATGGCATCTGTTAGGAATACTACTTGGCTTTGGGGGTCTACCACATTCTTGACCATGTTTGCTGCATGTACTAGAGCCTCCGTCTCTGTCCTGTAGTTTGTACAAAGTCGCCCTGTTGGGACTGTCTCTGCTTGTCCGTTTGGGAACTGTACGTACTCTCCCGCTCCTCCATTTTTCACAGCATCAGTGGCAGATCCGTCCGTATAGATCCTTATCCATGTTTCCCGGGGGTATCTTTCTTCAAGCATGGACAGAGAGAGGGATTTCTTGCTCTGGTCGCTGTAGTCATGTTTTGTGGTGAACATAGGAATGGACGTGTGTATAATTAAGTTTGTGTTTTTCTTTTCCTATGATGGTGCCTTTGGGGTATTGTTCAGCATGTTCACTGTGGCTGGTAGATGGTTCTGTAGGGATCTTTGGATTTTTCTGCTTTCTTTTATGAAGTTGGATCTTTTAAGTCTTGTGGTGTTTGATCTGACTGTTCTTGTGAGCATTATATGATCCTCCATAGCTGTAGCCTTGGTGTACTGTATGAGGGCCTTGCACTCCAATCTCCTGTGCAGGGCCACTATAGATGTTGCAAGTTTCATATCAATGCTTTTCATCTTTACCAGGGGTCATCACGAATTTTTCAAAGTGGGCCGAATAAATAAGTTAATGCCGAGCGCTAGTCGGATAACTATTTTTTTCCAGTGCAATACACTGTACACATAAAACAAATAAAGATAACAACCTATTTTCTGAGCACTCTACAGTCTTCCAAATCTGTTATTTATCATTTATTTATTTATTGATCATTTTTTATTTTTTATTTTTTACATTTATATTTATTCATTTATTTATTTATTTATTTATTTATCCATTAATCAATTAATTGTGAGGCACCGCGGTGGAATCAGGCTCTTGTCAAAATTATCAAAGTGAAGAAACTTGCTTTTTTCCTCAGGTTTGTGAATATTTACCTAAATTTTGTTTTTTGGCTCAACGCCTTTCATGCTCATTAAAGAACTAATTTCTGTGTGAATTTTTCTGAAAAACATTGATAAAAAGCACAAAAAATGTAAATGTTCTGTTACCACCGAC